GTACTCATTCCCATTCCTCAGACACACAGCCCAGTAACCATACTGGGGGCTCACTGTGATCCTCCCCTTTCTGTTTCTGGACTCTCTGGTGATGCCTAAATCCCAACCACTCTTCTCCCCCACCTCCACCTCCCAGTAGTGTCTCCCTGAGGTGATCCCATCCTTTCCCAGGACACTGACAAAAGTATCAAATCTCTCTGGATTGTCAGGGAGATCCTGTCGTGTGTCTCCATGTCTCACTTGTTTCCCATCCTCAGACAGGATGAGATTGGGATGAGCTGTATTGGGGTCCAGAGTCACATCAGCTGTGGATCAGAGAGCAGACAGACAGGATGAAATGATCTGTATCTCACTCCTCTCTCAGATGGAAGTAGATGACAGACTTACTGAGACTGTGATGTAACTGGTCATGACTGTATGTGTTGAACTGAAGAAGGAAAGTGTTTTCAGCAACTGAATTCAGATTCCTAGAGAATCACAGTTGAATTGTGAGACACACACAAGTGGTCTTTCTTTCACAGACACACACTGTCAAACTCCAGGAGTGTGTGAAGAGGTGTCAGTCACTGTGGTGTGGAAATAACATTGTCCTCCTGTCAGTGACTCCAGATACTGCAGAAGAAGTGTTATGTCAGGTTTACTGTGTTTTGTATTTCTTGGTTCTTTAATTTACCTTCCTTAGTTTTAAATAAATTTAATCCTTAAATCGTTGAAACACATCAGTTGTGTGCAGATCCAGCCATTCAAAATGCGCGTAGGCGTGGCACATTTTAACGCATCATATCGCTATGATACTAGTATCTGGAAGCACCTTGCAAAACCACCAGGTGGAGCTAATAAAACTTAACCTCTCATGTCGCCAGAAAACGCCTGGTTTAGAATCCCGGTCACTGCTGAGGGACAATCTTTTTCCAATTAAGAATTTAAGTTATATATTCTTTAGACTTGTAATAATTTTAAACTGTGTATTACAGCATTAAACATTAAAAAGTTGGTATATTTTATAAAAGCAAGATTGCTCAGTTGGACAAAAGTACACAACCTCCCACCTTCATCAGAAGTATTTTACTGTAATTATGCTTAAATATTTTATGCATTAAAGTCTTTACAGAAGATATTATTAAAAATGAATGACCTTGGACAGGCTATAAGCTCAAAGTATTTCTTTGGTCCACTTTCTTTGTAACCGTCTGCATCAGTTTAACTCATTTATATTGCGATAACGAGTGCAAATATTCATAGGAAAGGTTTAAACATTATAACTTTTTTATAAAGTATATAAACTTAATATAGTCAGAAGGAGCATGTAAAAACTTTTCCAAAATAACCACAGTATGTAACCGAATGAAAGACTTTGATGCTTAAAATGTTTAGGGAGAAAGTGGAATACTGGTGTGTATTTTTTATTTAAACTACCAGTGCCAACCATATACAGTTTACATAATATGTTTATATACCTAAATTAATATAGCTTATGACCTTCAGATGCATTATGTTCCTCTTCTTTTCAAGCTCAGCTACTACAATTTTCCTTTAGTTGTAAAATTCCATATTAATATTCAATATTAAGCAGATTAAAACATGTACAGTAAAGACATTAAATGAGTAAATCTTTCCACGACCGACCAACGCACCACGAGTACCCCTGTCGGTCATTTTGGCCAGCCAATTACGTACCACGGTACAAAGCGGTGAACTGTAGATAATTTGCGCGGTACAGGGTTGTACCGTGCATTTTGAATGGTTGCATTTGTATAAAGCAGGAGTTACAACATCTCCTCCTGTTAGAGTAAGAGCCTGTATTGACCCCTGTGACCCTGCTGTGACCTTTGTAAATGACAAGTTCCTGTCAGTGACAACAGACTCACCTGCATGTTTGCGAAGCCTCTCAAACTCTGCAAACAGAGAGAAAGATGTTAGAGAGCTGAGAGCACATTCCTGCTGGAGTCTGGTCTCCAG